TCTATGCCCCTCGGGTAAAGCCCGGGGCCATACATAGCCTGCCAAGGGTGCTGGCCGAGCTCCCATGCCTTGAGATATCTGCACCACTTTTGAAACGTAAAGAAAGCCAAAGTGGGATGCAATATATGCAATGTTGATGCAAAAATATACGGAAGCAACTCCTTGACCCCGACATGGGTCGGAGCTTCGTGCTAGCTTGCTTCTTGTGGCACTGTGTGACACAGGCACTTCTGCTTGGCGATTGAAAGGTGATGAGTGAAGTCTCTCCTTGAAGGCCTTGAGGTTGCCAGACCACGGGCGCTAGCGTGCTACTCGCAATACTCGCATCATGGGCTCAGCAGCCCACGCCTTACGCGCATCATCGCGCATCCGAAGCGGACCTCTAGCGGTCATGCACACCTGCTATAATCGCAATGGATCTGCGTCCGAACTCGCAGGCGCCGATCAGAGAGTCACGCAACAGGTCGGGAGGACAGGTGAACTCTGTGTGTTGTTTCCGCTGCTTCCCGTGGCTAAGAAGTGTCGGCTACATTCACTGCCTGCACACGGGCGGAGTACCTCCGCCCCGGTTTACATCATTCTCATCTCACACGCGCATGCAATGCTCGTGTTTTTGTTGGAGGGTGGTGGCTTTTTCATGCACCTGATGATCTGAGTTGCTTCTGTATTTCGCACAGTCACGCGACTCAAGGCACGCCTCTTCACGCGGCTGCCATTCAATTTGATGTTTGCGCGCTTCTGCGCAGGCCCTTCAAAGACACTAACAGAGCATGCGCATGGTCGTTGGATAGAAGCTCTTGCACAGACCTTCTGAACAACCCTTGTGCATCTGATTATATGCCCTGAGTCCTGCCCCCAAATTTCGATAGACAGCCGGCTAGGGAGTGTCTGACACGGACCCCTGTCCGGCACAAGGTGAGAAGGTGAGTGGGGCAAGTGAAGCCACGGGCTTGCGGCATCGTCTCGCACATGTGAGTACTTTTATGCACTTCGCGACGTACTTCACAAGTTCCTCGCACAAGGCTCGTTTTGGAGAAGACGTCCTTATCGCATGATTTCCACGACACCTTCGGAGGGCGGCTGCCGCACGTCCATGTTGAGTGAGACCAGCGACACGAGCAAGAGCAACAGGGATCAGACGGCCAATGGGCCGAAAACGCAGCTGTCCCATCGAGCCTCCTGGAGAGTGGACCCCCCAGACATGCGACACCTTCAAGGGGGGAGCTTCGCTTCAATAAGTTTCGGGAGCCTCGTTCTCAGCCCACCACCAGGCTTGTGGGGAGGTAGCGATGGCATGAAGAAGCGCTTCTGGATCCTGCAAAAATGCACTTGGCTCGGATATCTTCCTGCCGTTTCAACGGCAGGTTGCCGCGGAAGGGCCTACTCCCACCGAGCAGCTTTCGGCGGTGAAAGGACAGGCCTCTGGCGCAGGGAGGGGGTCAACTGCACCTGCGGCAGAGTTTAGGGTTTAGGGTTTAGGGTTTAGGGTTTAGGGTTTAGGGTTTAGGGTTTAGGGTTTAGGGTTTAGGGTTTAGGGTTTAGGGTTTAGGGTTTAGGGTTTAGGGTTTAGGGTTTAGGGTTTAGCACAGGCTTGCATGTCAAAAATACAGCTGCAGAATGAGGGTGTCTCTCTAGATTAGGGTCCCTTTGCAGGGACCCATTTTCAAGCGGCACCCCTAAAAAAGGGATCCCACAAAGGGACCCCCTAGAATGATTAGGAAACTAGCCCTGAGCACTGCCTGAGCAAGGAGCTGAGGGGGCTGAGGGCTGAGGATTCGTCTGAAAGGTTGTATCACTAGAATCACTGTGGGGGGGGTTCCGAAGATAGCCGGGTATCCTGGTCCCTCTTAGGGGCTTCTCTTCCATTTGGGGTATAAAAGGGCGTAGCCCTATTTCGGGAACTACCCATATTAGCATTCAGAGGGCACACAGGAGGAGCTGAAGCCGCGAAGCTCGCCTAAAATCCTCAACCCTGAGCCCCAAACCCGAAATCCTGCACCTCCACCACCTCACTCGTTCTTGAGGAGTTCGCTGCCTTACACCTATAGAGCTAGCTCTACGAAAGAGCGAGCCGAAGTCCAAGCCTAAACCCGAAACCCGAAGCCCAAACTTGCAGAGGGAATCCGCGCCTGGCGCTCACGATGAGTGCGGTTAGCTGACCCCCCTGCCACGCTGGGGTCGAAGCGTCGTGAGGCCCACCTTGAGAGCTTGTAGCATGAAGCTTTCTTAGCTTTCTTTAGACAGTAGCGGGCTCTTAGGGTAGGATTGAGAAGGTTCAGCAACCTACTTGGGGCAGGAGGGTGTAGGGCTTCGGGTGGGTGTGAGCTTAGGGCTCATGAGTTTTACGGCTGCATTGGCCGTGCATGTCTCTCTGTGGCTCGGAACGTCGGGGTAGGAAGAAGCGAAGTCCCCCATTCCCGACTAGGCCTGACTACACTCCGCTCCAAAATTCACCCCCTGGTTCTTAGTAGGGAAGGAGGGACTTAGGGCCCTAAATATACCCCCAGAAAGACCCTTAAAGGGATTATAGGGTACCTCATTTCCCCATTCCCTACCAAGAACCAGCCAGAGCAACCTCCAACAGAGTCTGGGAAGACATCTGAGCATCCGGCAATTGCTTCGTGGAAAGCTTTGTGCCGCCATTGCACCGAGCAAGCCCAACCAACGTGGTGTTGCGACTCGTTAGCCAATCTATGAAACGCACCTCGAAGTGTTTGAACGAAGTCCTGGTCTGTCACCATTCTTGGAGGGAGGTGCCTGGTGATAAGGTAGCAGGATGTATCGCGACCCTACTTTCAATGCTTCACGAGCATCCAATACATTCATGGCTGTTCTTCAGCTCATGGTCTGAAGCTGACAAGCGTACCTTGTGCCTCATGAAGCAGCAGCAGCAAGAATGGTAAGAGCTGTCCGCCGTGAAACGGGACAGAACATTGATGGTAACAGTACTACTGGGAATAATCACCTTGAATAGATCCATCACTCGGTATGCGCGGCTTCTGACAGATACTCCCCAAGTTTCTGGAACATATGGAGAACAAAACCACTTCGTGCAGCGATAAGAACAGATATCAAGACTTGCTGCCCCCCCCCCCCAAAAAAAAAAGCCAAACATGTTCATATGATGTGATCACGCCACGTTGCGCCTGCTACGTGCCACGGAAAGGGTTTAAGGCCAGCATCTAGGGTTTAGGGTTTAGGGTATAGGGCTTAGGGTTTCGGGTTCAGGGTTTAAGGTTTAGGGTGGGCGGAGAATTTGTTTAGTACTTTTTTGTTTTTTTGGCACCTTTTTTCCCCACATCTTTGTGTGGGGTTCTTACTTTTGGACTGTCCCGCCGCCTCCTTCCTCCCTCCCTCCTCCCTCCTCCTCCCTCCCCCCCCCCCCCCCTCCCTCCCTCCCTCCCTCCTCCCTCCCTCCCTCCTCCCTCCCTCCCTCCCTCCCTCCCTCCCTCCTCCCTCCCTCCCCTCCCTCCCCCCTCCCCCCGCCCGCCCCTCCCTCCCTCCCTCCCTCCCTCCCTCCCTCCCTCCCTCCCTCCCTCCCTCCCTCCCTCCCCCCTCCCTCCCTCCCCCCTCCCTCCCTCCCTCCCTCCCTCCCTCCCTACCCTCCCTCCCTCCCTCCTCCCTCCCTCCCTCCTCCTCCCTCCTTTCGTTGTCGCCTGGTCCCCTGGTCTCCTGGTGCTCTGGTCTGCTGGTCCCCTGGTCTTCCTAAGAAAATGCTACATTCCATTTTAAATTGTCATAGGATTTGGTCGGTTTTCTTGGTTTTCCAAAACACATATCTCCATTCCCTCTATATTTTCTTAGGAACTCGTCCATTTTCTTGTTTCTTCCTCCGAAAACCTTTTCGGACGAAAGTGCACGACACTCCAAATCAAAACCTGGCCCTCCAGTGTCCCTCTTGCGTTGCGTTCCCTAAACCCTGAACCCTCAACCCTAAACTCCAAACCCTAAACCGTAAAACCTGAACCCTGAACCCTAACTTGGGGATTGCGGTGCACTTGCAGCTGAAAAAGATGCCCACGTTTTGCCCGCAAAGTCTCAGGAGCAATCGCCTCGCGTGCCTTCGTCAGCACACTATTTGGGTTTACCTAAGTGTATTTAGGGTTTAGGGTTTAGGGTTTGGGGTTTAGGGTTTTTTAGGGTTTAGGGTTTAGGGTTTAGGGTAGGTACATGGTCCCCTAGTATGGGCCCTGAAAAGGGGACCTTTAGGATACCCCTTTCGAAACCCTGTAGAAGCCAAGGGCCCATACATCAGAACCCTTTAAAGAAGGAAAGGGACCATATCAAACTGGATCCCCTTAACAAAAGGACCCCAATAAGGTACCCCTGATTTCGGAAACCCCCAAGAAGGTTCTGCTGAACTTGCTTTGAACCCTCCGAAAGCCGTCGATGAAATGCGCGCCTGCTCACTGTTGCTGTGTTTTCGCGAAGTTTGGTTTTTGATCCACTGTTGCTGTGGATCTTGGATGCTTTGTGTCTTGGTTGCTTTTTGGATTCAGGAAAAGCATGATGGCTCCTGCAACGTCGTAAGGGCGAAGCACTGGCAGAATCATGACACGCTGAGCTTGGAGCCCGTCATGGCACCAAATGCCTGGGCAAGGATCAACCTTGTGCATTTTAACCCTGGTGGCCATAGCCAAGCAGACCATACCCTTAAGTCCCCCCCGTCAATGTCAACCCGAAGGCCGAAGAACCGCAAAGACCTCACAAGCGCAGTGGCAGGGACATGGGCAAACATGCAACTCTGGCCGTCAGGTCACAAGGCAATCACGTGCATTGGCCTGCCTGCACAACTCTTGACCACTAACAGCTCCTGCTGGCGGAAGCGAGCTCAGTCGTGCAACGTTTTGGTTCAAGCCTCGTGCGCCTTGCTAGGTGATGCATTTACATCACAGCAGGGTTGGCGACCTCCAGAACCAGAGCTAAGGCGAGGGTCGGTGAGGGATGGGCTTTGTACAAGGGCAGACGTGCGGCTCGCTGTGGAGTTCATGGACAGTCCCTCAGTCGATTACCACCAGTGGTGCCACGTGGAAACGCAGGCTTTTCTTCTTGCTGCGCTTGGCCTGACGAAGAAGCTGACTCTCAAACGCTCTGTCTCAAGCGACATACGGGCCATGCTCAGGCACCTTCTCTGCTGTCTGCTGCATGGACAGAGATAAGACCATTTCCACGTCGTCCTGGGAACAGGTGTCCAGAGAGACAGACAGAAAGAGAGGAGGTTCACTACGAAGAGGAAACCTTTGAACACGGCATAGTCTTCCTAGTCGGGTTGGCGATGGTTGGCGATACCCCAGGGCCTCTACAGGTTCGTCGATTTCGTTTTCCTCTTCTTCTCCCTCCTCCTCCTCCTCCTCCTGCGCTTCCTCCTGTGCTTCCTGTCAGGACAGTTCCCCAGCGCGTGGGAACATCTGAACGGCACTGCTCCATGAGATGTTGCGTTGCCTCTATCGCATTCTGCAAATTGTCGTCTTCTGCCTGCAGAACCATCCGTGTGTCAAACACAAAGACTCACCGGAGGACTGCACAAGGGCAAACATCCAGCGACACCTCTACATCAGGATCTTCCGGCTCCTCCACGGCATCGGAGCACTCTGCATCTTCGTGGATGTCGGCAGCCTTCTTTCCCAGGAGCGGCTGTAGCAACAGGAAACACAACCACCGCCACCAACACCACCACCACCCACCAAGACCTCCGACACCCCCGCCAACAACACAAGGACCCAGGGAACCTCCTCCTCCTCTTCCGGGTCGCTCTCCTCAGCCTCGGGGGCCTCGACCTCCTCCTCGGCTTCGGCCTCCTCCTGACAAGCAAAAAACATCAAAAAACGATTTTTTTGCGCAGGGCGCAGACGCAAGAGAGGCCGAGGCACCGGCCTCAACCTTCTCGCTTTCAGAACTCGCCGGGGCCTTTCGACGAACTCGCTTGCGCCTCCAAAGCCCCGTCGCTCGCTCCATGGCTCGCAACCCCTAAACCCTAAACCCTAAACCCTAAACGTGCCAGACTGCCAGACTCAATCGGCGCCTTTGCTTCACCCGCTTTCTCTGTCGACCTCCTTACAGCCCACTTGCAAGGGCCAGCAACACACACAGAGAGGAGCGCTGACTGAAACCCAGCTCGGCCTCGCGACTTCTTGCCCCGGTCTCTCTTTGCCTCTTGAGCCTCTGACTCAGAGGGCTCCTTCTTCTTCGGTCCAGACTTGGCTTTGCTCCCTTTGCCTGGCTTCTGCTTTGCCCTCGTAAACTTGGCCTTCCTTCGCCGCCTCCCGGAAGAGGACGTGGAAGACATCTTGCAGACCTTCTTCTTGCGCTCCCTCTTCTTGGCAGGCTCCGGCCTGCAATATGCACTGTGCATCGAAAACAGCGGGGTCTTTCTTTAAATTGCTGCCGTTAAGTCACATGCATCTGCAAAAATTCTTAACTTAAAATGTTGCCGTCGAATTTCAATCTCCCTTCGTTGGGCTAGTTTCGCCCCTCGGCATGTCATCGTCATCACACCAGCGATAAAGCTCCAGCCCACAGCTGATAAATTCGTCAACAGAGATGACGTCATTAAGCCAGATGTATCCCGCACGAACAGTCGACCCATAATGTATGTGCCCACAGAACTACACTCATCATTGCAAAGTTTTCGCTCTGGCTCCTGGCTCACAGAAACCCGCTATAGCTGCTTGTGGGTTCATCATCACAAACATCACAAGACGACCGTCTTTCCCTTTCGCCGATTTGAATCCGAAATACAACACTTGAGTTCATCTCTCCTTTGCTGCACCCATCCCGCTGTTGCACTTTGGTACAGATTTCATGCTGCAAGGAAGCATGCGATGTGGGCCTGGTATTCTGGGCGTGCTGCACGTGACAGCACGCAAAAGGCTGCTTTGAAGCTTGCGATGGTTACTTACATACTCAGGGAGCTGAGCAAGGAGCTCATGAGGCAGGTTAAGGGTACTGTTACAATCCTGCTGAAGACCTACGAAGTTCCCCGATCCCTCAAGCAAAGACCTGAGGGCTTGGGGTATCGGGAATAGGGCCAAAAGCAGCTGTGAGGGCGGAGAGGGTTGGTAAGAGCTAGACGGATCTCCCGTAGACTCTTGCTTGAAGGCTCAGTAAGTAGGTTGCGAATCAGGTTCGATGCAAAGACAACCCAACCTTGGACGTCCAATAACCTACCCACACTTGCCCCCCTAAAACCCTAAACCCTAAACCCTCAACCCTAAACCCTAAACCCTAAACCCCCCACACTTGCACCGTGCCCTGCCTCTTTGGCAAGCTCTCTGAGCTCGGCTCCCGCTGCCGAGGTCGGGGTGACCGTCTACCTGACAGGGGGGTCCACTCGTGTTGATTCCGTTTCGGCCCCTGCTGCGCATAGCTACAGGAACAGGAACTTCCTGGATGCTGGCTGGGAGCTCTGAGATTTCTGAACCCTGTCGTGGCGCCAGATACTTGGAGATCTGCGCAATGCGTCGAAACTTCGGAATGCCAGCGGCAAGGATTCTCGCGGTGGTGGCTGCAGCGGTGCCGACCGGACCGGTGGAGCGGGCTCAGGAGGTGCGCGCTCCACCTCACTTGTTGGTACCAACTTGGCCACTTTGTCCTTGGGCAGGTCCAACTGATTCACGCGGCGGCGCTTCGCCACCTCGGCAGACGTCTTGCCATCGACGAAAGCCTGCAGTAGGTGTCTCGCAGTGCCCAGGGCCCGCACCTTGTTCATTGTTGGGATAATATTAGAATTATATTCCTTATTGGGTTTAAGTACCCTTATAACAATGTAAAATGGTACCCAAGCATGACAAAGGCACACTGGCCGCTGAAGGCAGCAGGTCCAGGAACCAGACCAGCTCGGACTTTCCCAGCTGGAAGCAGCAATGCTGCCTCGTAATCTCTTCCGGGGCGCTGCCAACCGAGAGAAGCTTCGAGGCCGCCCTCTGAGGCGCCGATCGCCGCTCCTTCAGTAGGGTCGCGGCAACGCAGGCATGGTCTGAGGCACAGCTGACAGTGACCTCGCCATTGAGCGGCTGCAGGAGGTAGGACTGGGGAGGCACGAAGATCAGCGCGGCATGCTCCGTCTTCACGGAGCTATGCGTTCCGTCTGCCACATGGGCAGACCGGAGTGAGGAGCCAAAGATGGTGCAGGGCAGCTCCACTGCCAGCTGGCTCTCCTCCGCACCATCAAAGATGCGCAAGCGCACGCTGCCATCGGGGCGGACAGGCACCTCGTCCGAAGCATCCGGGACACCTTCAGCCTGCGAGTCCATGGGGCGGCCCTGGCCCAAGAGAGATCGGGGCAGCTTCGCAGACCATGGCAGCTTTGGCAAGCGCAGGGTTTCCAGGTCCAGACCTTTTCTGAGAGCCACCCGAAACCCAGGTGCCTCTGCATATGCTTCCGCCCCAATTCGGATTTCGGGCATCTTCTCCTCGTTGCCTGGCTTGTTGGGCACTTTGTCCGCATGCCGCTCGTCGGGCGCAGGAGGCTTCTCCGCAGGAGCAACGGATGTTGCGGATCCCACCTGGCATAGTCCATCCTTGACGTCGTTCGCTTCTGGTCCAGACCTCACGTGCTGCTCTCCTGCCTATATTCATGACCAAAAATCGACCCGATGAGCTTTTCACCCCCTAAACCCTAAACCCGAAACCCTAAACCCCAAAAAACCTACGCCAAAGCCGACCAGGCCGCGGAACAGTTGCACCAGGCACATCTCTGCTGGCAGCAGAGCCGGCATGGGCCTCAGGACACATCAGCAGCGCATCGTGGCTGCTTTCATGCACCACTACCAGGGCTGACATTGTTGGGTTTGGGGTTTAGGGCTTAGGGCTTAGGGTTTAGGGTTTAGGGTTTCGGGCTTAGGGCTTAGGGTTTAGGGTTTAGGGTTTAGGGTTTAGGGTTTAGGGTTTAGGGTTTAGGGTTTAGGGTTTAGGGTTTAGGGTTTAGGGTTTAGGGTTTAGGGTTTGAGTTTAGGGTTTAGGGTTTAGGGATAGCGACTTGAGGAACAGCTCGCCTCCTCCGGCTGTGACTTGACAGGCGCGGTCGGCTTGATGTGGGCCTTCAGGCGGGTGACATCCCAGAGCCCCTGGGAGGATCCTAAAAAATAGAACCCCCCCCAAATAGTACCCTGGTTTCGGGTTTGGGGTTTAGGGTTTGGGGTTTAGAGTTTAGGGTTTAGGGTTTAGGGTTTAGGGTTTAGGGTTTAGGGTTTAGGGTTTAGGGTTTAGGGTTTAGGGTTTAGGGTTTAGGGTTTAGGGTTTAGGGTTTAGGGTTTAGGGTTTAGGGTACCCTACACTACTTTTGGGTCATTCTTAGGAACCCTTAAGGGGATCGATTTTTTGGATCCTCCCAGGGTCTGGCATCACGTAGCTCGCTCGCAAGGTCAGCCCGACATTCGGAAACTGAAAATGCGTGGATTCGGAATGATTCGGAAACTGGCAAAATGTGAGAGAAACTACAAACCGCGGATATGGGAGACTGCAAACTGCGGATTCGGGAAGCTCGAAACCGCCGATTTCGGTCAAGCTGTTTGAACTGAATGCACTGGTGATATGAACATTATTATTACATTATCAAATCATACTCGCAAGCCCACGAACCCAACTCCCCAGCTGATTTCTTGAATGGGGCTTCCTGAATCGCATGGGTTTCTGAATCGGGCCGTTTCCTGAATCGAGTGAAACCCGTCTCCTGACTATCGCTCCCCTGAATCGCGTGAGGCCAGTTTCCTAAAATCGCCAAGTTTCTAGAACTGCAGTTTCCAAACCTGGCTTCCTGAATTCCAGCTTCTGAATACAATTGAACATCAATAGCAGTGCTGAGCTAGGGGCCTTCCACCAGGTCGCATTCTTCCAGACCCCACGGGGCTCTTCGGGTGGGCTCTCTGCCGGTGCCTGAATTGAAGGCGGATATATATATAGATATGTATATATATATATATATATATATATATATATATATATATATATAGATAGGGAGAGAGAGAGAGAGAGAGAGAGAGAGAGAGAACTATAGGGAGAGAGAGAGAGAGAGCACGGCACCCTTAAAAGAAAGAGCCCCAAAAGAAAGCGACCCTAAGTTGCTTGGGGAAGATTAGGCCCACAATGCTCCCCACACAAAGGCCTCTGGAAACAACACGGCCGTGAGGGCGGTGCCCATTTCTCCTGGGGCCAGGCCAGGCCCACGGTGAACGTTTAGGGTCGAGGGCTAACAGTCCTTAATAGGGATTATCATAGGGGGTACTAGAATCCCAAGTAAGGACTGTTAGTATAAGGGGAACATCCCAAGTTTTGGGTTGACGGGCCGGTCTAGGGCTTAGGGTCTAGGGAGGACAGCACAAGCACAAGCTTGCAAAGACTGCAGCTGCCTTGCCAGATGCCTGAGAGCGCGATCGGCTCAGAGCCCGCCGCGACCTCGGCGTCGGCTTCCCCCGCCCTAAACCCCAAACCCTAAACCCTAAACCCTAAACCCTAAACCCTAAACCCTAAACCCTAAACCCTGCACATGTTCGGCTCAACATCATCTCTACACCCCTGAGCTGGGCTGCGTGCCGCAGACTCCGCGGTCTCGCCCTTGGCGTCCTCTGCGACCTCCGGAGCCGCCTTCTCAGCCTCCTTCTGAGGGTTAGGGTTCAGGGTTTAGGGCTTAGGGTTTAGGGCTTAGGGCTTAGGGCTTAGGGTTTAGGGTTTAGGGTTTATGGTTTAGGGTTTAGGGTTTAGGGGTTTGGGGTTTAGGGGTTTATGGGGCTTAGGGGTTTTGTTGGTTTAGGTTTCTTCTCGGCCTCCTCCTGCTTCTCCTCAGGAGGCGTCCTCTCGGCTTCCTTCTCAAGGCCTGGGCTCCGCTCAGCCGGCTGCGCAGGCGCATCGGCGGCTGGCTGCAGGGCCTCTTCGCAGGCCTTCCATCAACACACCGACACCGCCCTGACGAAGACAAGCAACGAAGGACAAAGCATGCTCAAACCCTAAACCCAAAACCCTAAACCCCAAAACCCTAAACCCCAAAACCCTAAACCCTAAACCCTAAACCCTACACAATAAACCCTAAACCCTCAACCCTCAACCGCAAGGATGCCACCCGGGGGGCTCTGTCTCCGGGGCCCACCCAAATCTTGGCTCTTCAGACCTCTCCCCTAGAGGTTCCTATACCCCCCCTTAGAACTGGGGATGCTCCCCCTTATACTCACAGTCCTTAGTAGGGATTATAATAGGGGTACTATAATCCCTATCAAGGACTGTTAGGATAAAGGGGAGCATCCCAAAAACCATGTTCCTATTATTCACTTGGGTTTGCAAAAAAAGAAATAAATAAAAATTCTTGAGGGGGTTAGAGTTTCCCCTCACCCCAAGTGTGTGACGTGAGAGACCTTGTAAGACTTGTATCTTGGAACAGGAGACGAAGCTCGATCCAGCCTCGGGCTTCGGGTTAGTGGCCCGAAGAGCTTGCGCAACAGAACCACGCACCTGCCAGGCAGCTCACAACGAACCCCCTGGCTCTTAGTAGGGAATGAGGGAATGAAGGCCCTACATACATACATACATACATACATACATACATACATACATACATACATACATACATACATACATACATACATACATACATACATACATACATACATACATACATACATATACACACACATGTAACCACCCCAAGGGATCATAATTCCTCATTCCCTACGAAGAACCAGCCAGACCACATCAGCGAAGACAGCTACTGCGCCTCCTGAAAGACAAGTCATGTTGGCAGCTCCAACAGTTCTCTCTCCGGACTTGGGGTTTAGGGTTGCGGGTTTAGGGTTTAGGGTTTAGGGTTTAGGGTTTAGGGTTTAGGGTTTAGGGTTTAGGGTTTAGGGTTTAGGGTTTAGGGTTTGGAGATCAGCAACACCACGACACAGCCTCTGAATGCAAAGCCGAGCGACGCGTTTGGGAAGTCTTCCAGGAAGATGGACTTCGAGGTTGGGTTGAACGACTGGAACGCCTGCTAGGGTTTAGGGCCCTAAACCCTAAACCCTAAACCCTAAACCCTGAACCCTAAACCCCAAACCCTATGTCCATGGCACTGGACCACAGTCTCTCCCAAATGCAATCTGGCCTTCGACGTGCTCCTTGCTGGGCTGCGACTCCTCGTTCGGACGAGTCACGAAGCAAGCTCGGCTTTTTGTTGCTTCAACACGGTGCTTGAAAGAAAGCGATGAGAAAGCGATGAAGAAGCCCTGCCTCCGGCTGATGGCCGGGCCTGCTGGGAAAGACACATGGCCACACAAGAATCCGGCTCAGCTTCCCTGAGAGCTTCCCTGCCTTGCAGGGCTTTGACCCCCCAAGTGCTGCGAGTCCGCGTGCGCAGGCGAAGCTTCGCTTTGCTGCGGGGGCTGCAGAAGCGGGGCTTTCTCGGCTCCCCGACCTGGCGCGACGAATCAAGCTTGTCAGGTACAAGATGCCCCTAAACCCTATCCCCTAACCCCTAAACCCTAAACCCTAAACCCTAAACCCTAAGCCCCCGAAATGCCCCAACCGTCAGCATGCTTCGGGCCTGAGTGGGACCAGAAGACATTCAGCCGCTCGGGCTTGCCTCCTTCGCAGCAGGCGCACTACTTGCAAGACTCGCTTGAAAGACTTGGCCTGAATAAGAGGGTTTAGGGTTTAGGGTTTAGGGTTCAGGGTTCAGGGTTTAGGGTTTAGGGTTTAGGGTTTAGGGTTTAGGGTTTAGGGTTTAGGGTTTAGGGTTTAGGGTTTAGGGTTTAGGGTTTAGGGTTTAGGGTTTAGGGTGCTGATGAAGAAGCACCTTGACCCCGAAGCCCGGCCTTTGTATCGACCTTTGCCCTTGTCCGGACGCGCGTCACTCTGGACCTGTACTCCCCTTTAGAACCTTAATAAAAATAAATGCTTATCTAATATCCTCTTGGGTTTTATATGAACAAAAATTAAAACACCTTAGAACCTTAATAAAAATAATGTTTCTCTAATATCCTCTTGGGTTTTATATGAACAAAAATTAAAACCATAACTCCCAGCAGGGATATAGGGACCTGTTGGGCCTGCGGGCGATCGAGCTCTGCCTGCAAGTACGTCCACAGCATCTTCCGCTGCTCGAGGTCGTCCGTGGGATCTGCGAACTGCTCCTGCGAGAGCTGCTCCAACCACTCCACGGCGAGTTCGAGGCGGCCCTTGAGCTCGGGGACGTCTTCCTCGGGAGGAGGGGGGGGAGGAGGAGCTGCAGCCTCGAGCTCCTGTGTGCATCCTGCCAGCTCTTGTGTGCATCCTGCCAGCTCTTGCGTCTTCCTGCTCGCGTCTTGCTCTTGCTTCTGCAGCTCCACCTCCAGCTCGAGCTGCTGGAGCATCTGCTGGCAAAGCTGCTGCTGTTGGGAGACCCGCAGCTCATGCTGCAAGCGCTCCTGCAGCTCCAAACACTCCGCGCTCTGAGGCTCCGCGCTGGCACGCTCCAGCTCTCGGAGAAGGTCCACTCCACAGGTTCTCTGCCCGAACGCCTCGCGCTGCTGCAGAATCGTTGCGAGCTCCTGCTGGAGTTGTTGCCTTTGGTGCTCAAACTCCTGCTGCTGCTTCTCGAAATCCGACACTCTTGGAGGTTCCTCCGCGCTGGAGAGCTCCCCAAGCCCGGTGCCAGCAAGACCTTCCTGCTGGCCATCCACAGCCGCCAGCTCTGCCGGTGCACTTTGCCTATACTCCCCTTAGAACCTTAATACGAACAATATTTATTTAATATCCTCTTGGGTTTTATATAAACAAAAATTCTCTAAAAACATTCCCAAAGGGGATATGGTTGCAGCAGATGCGGAGGAGGGGGTGTGGATGGCGGCTTCGGACGATGCTTGGGCGTTTGGCCTCGGGGAATTGCCCGGGGAGCTGCGCGCTCCGCGACATCAGGGGCTTGACTGGATCCCAGTGACCCAGAGAGGAATCCTAGAGTTTGCTGCAACAGCTGGAGGACCATCTCCAGGGCGTCCTTCGAAACAAACACCTCCTGTGGGGCCGGCAGAGGCATGTCCACCTTCTCGGGCCTCCAGCTCCCATAAAGCACCTTCGGAGTCAGGGAATGAGTTACCCTCTGGTAATTCCTTAAGATGAGGTACCCAAATTCTTAAAGGGTATATATTTATTTATTTATTTATTATTTATGTATTTATTTATTTATATACAGAGCCCTATATAATTCCGACATTCCCTACTAAGAACCACGGCACCTTCCACAGCGCTGAGAGTCCTTCCAGCTGTCGCTGTCTCTGCTGCTTGGCCCACTGGCAGACGGTAGACAAAGTCTGGATATCCTCTTCGGTCCGATCCCAGGATCCCTGATGGCATCGCTGCCCGACGCTGGCCATGACCTGACCCAGCATGACGTGCAGCTGCTCCTGCCACTTCCTTACTGTTGGTGAGCAGGGGGGAATGGGGGAGTGAGGTACCCTATATAGTACCTTGGAAAATATGTAGAGCCATAAGTCCCTCCCTGCTAACCAACACCAAGCTTCTGGAGGGTGGCCAGGTGCTGCATGCACACGCTGGTCTCCTCAAAGAGCGCCTTGCATGAGGCGCCCCGAAGATGGCGGCCGTAGGCGCCGTACCACTTCGGGGTAACTGCGGCATTGACCATCTGCACATTCTGTGCATTTCGCCCCATTGTTCCATGGCGGCCACTGAGTCAAGACCAAACTAAAAGGATGAACACATGCGGCTACTTCCCTGGAGGCTAGCAAGATGCCCAAAGACTTCACTCTGAAGCTGTGCGTCCCGGGTCAGGATCAACAAATGGGGGGGGGGCTTTACCATCTTAAGGGGTACCGGGTACCTTATTGGGGATCCTTCTGATACTGCTATGTGGGGGTCCATAGTAGGGGTCCCTTATATTCGTAAACCCCCAAATGCCTTGTGCAAAAGGCAGATTCCAGTTTCACACGGTGACAGGAACAGCTGCAGGGCACGGAATCCCAGGAGCCTTAAGGTTGTACCCTTGGGTTCTGGCCATCTTTAAGATCCTGAAGTTGATATGAGGACCATACTGGGCGTATGTTAAGGGGAACCTTTACGGGTAGAACCTTACGAGTACGAGTCTTAATCCCTTGCCCTAAACCCTAAACCTTCAACCCTAAACCCGAAACCCGATGATCACGACTCCCTCCCTGGTTCCTTCAATGCCTTTCTGTGGCCTGACACAGGGCCCGGGCCCGTTCCGAAGATCACAGCCCGCACGTGGACAACCTGAGACCAGGAGATCTTGCGCACCAAGGGAGGTGACAGTTCGGCATTGAAGTCCTGGCAGAAGGTTTCGCCTCCCGAAGACTTCGCCGGCCACCCCTAAAACCCCCTAACCCCAAACCCGAAACTGTAAGCATTGCGCCGGTGAGCTCCAGCGTACGTAGCGCTCGCCATGCCGGCCAGCCTCACATCTGCACACACCCTGCAGCTTCTACGCATTCGGCCGAAACAGAATAAGGTTCAAGTGTAAGTTTCCCTCCCGATTTCGTCAACGGAAATCACTTTAAGCTGCAAAGTTCGTGAAGACGGCAGCATGCAGAATGAAGTCCTGGGGTTAGGTTGAATTGATACAGGAATACAGGTCCACATGCAGCTCCTCATCATACCCTGTACTGCATTCTCTGAAGCCAGAGACCACATGTCCCAAAAGCGTTTGCGAGCGGCGCGTCAGCACGGAGATCCGTAAGATCCCTAAACCAAACCCTAAACCCTAAACCCTAAACCCTAAACCCTAAACCCTAAACCCTAAACCCTAAACCCTAAAGCCTAAAGCCTAAAGCCTAAACCCTAATCTATCCATCGCTTCATGCAAATCATACATTGCCCATCCATCCATCTGCCCCTGGATCCATGTCATTAAAAGCCTGACAACTACGATGGTTAAGGCATGGCGTAGCATTGATCGTTTTGCCGCCGCCACCACACGAATCCTCTGGCCGCATGTTAAAAGGGGGGTGGCATACGCGTACCTAAAACCCTAAACCGAAACCTTCTGGAGCGCAAAGGTACCCGCGGCAACTCCTGCAGTACCAGATTTCACGGTTGCTTCTGTGCCAACCTGGCTCACCAAGGTTGGCGACAATTTGCCCACAGTGAACACGCTGCCACAGGCATATCGCTTGCTAAGCGGGCTTAGGCTCAAAGGCTTCAGAAGCGAAAACCGGTACGCCGAAGCCACGTTCTCACTCTCTCACTCTCTCACTCTCTCACTCTCTCACTCTCTCACTCTCTCACTCTCTCACTCTCTCACTCTCTCACTCTCTCACTCTCTCACTCTCTCACTCTCTCACTCTCTCACTTTCTCACTCTCTCACTTTCTCACTCTCTCACTCTCTCACTCTCTCTCACTCTCTCACTCTCTCACTCTCTCACTCACTCTCTCACTCTCTCACCCTCTCACTCTCTCACCCTCTCACTCTCTCACTCTCTCACTCTCCCACCTCCCACTCTCCCACTCTCCCACTCTCCCACTCTCCCACTCTCCCACTCTCCCACTCTCCCACTCTCCCACTCTCCCACTCTCCCACTCTCCCACTCTCACTCTCCCACTCTCCCACTCCCACTCTCCCACTCTCCCACTCTCCACTCTCCCCTCTCCCACTCTCCCACTCTCTCACCCTCCCACTCTCTCACTCTCTCACTCTTTCACTCTCTCCCTCTTTCACTCTCGCACTCTGGCACTCTTGCACTTCTCGCACTGTCGCACTCTCGCATTCTCGCACTCACTCTCGCTCTCCCATTTTCCAAACAAGAAATAGATGAGGCGCTGCTTCTTTCTTCGAATCAGCCGGGTGCTTGCAAAAGGTGCGTCTGTCACAGAGACGGTACAAAAGCCTTCCGCAATTTGGCTGCTCCTTTGTACGACAGCTCATTGCTGGCTTACAGGTCAATTGCTCGGATTCTGTGCTCATTGGGTGATGCTCGTGCTCGCTGATTTTTTGGACTTGAGAGTTGTCCAATGTAGGATTTAAAGTCAGCATGTGGCTGCTGGCGCCGCAATTGTGCTATTGTAACTTGGAAGTGTTGGTGCAAGTCCCAATGTCGGTTTGCACGTGCTGTTTTTTTTTTTGGACTGACGCTCTTTACTACATCAGTAGCACAGTAGGCCGGTCTTGTTGGGCTCGACATAACAGGTGAAACGAAGTCAGCGCGCTCAAACCACCAAAAACACCACGCAACCACCCAAGAAACAAAGAAACAGAAGAAACAAAGCAAGCAAAGGCGCTGAACTACTAGGTAACCCCACGCACTCAGTACTCGAAGTCGTCGTTGAAGTCCCGGTGCAATCACACAGCACAGAGCATGCGGGGAGTCGCAAAATGCGACACTGCCAGATTCTCAAAACCACCATCATGTAGCTACTGGTGCGACATCATTCGACTCGAACCGAGGTCATCACTCGATAGTCAGGATCCCGTACTCGTCGTCAAGGACAGATAACAGACCCGCAGTGGCAAAGGGATGCTACAGGTCAGACTCCCCAAAGGAGAGGAAAGACGTGCGTATGCCCCATGGTGGTCAGCCAGTGGGGACTTAACAGCAAGAACTATCAAGGCAAGACCGGCCCAGGGCACTCCATGGTGGTCAGCCAGTGGAGCAGCCCCGAGCGAAAGGTCCTCCGCTCACCCTGGCTTGCAGCTGCGCCCACCTGGATAGATGTCCGCGCACAAGCAAAGTCTCATCAGACAGCCAGAGGGGAGGCCACACACGCAAGCCCGAAAGCTCGCCGGGGTCTCGGAGACTGCAATCTGGTGGGCAATGGTCCCTCCAGAGCCCAAGCCAATAAGGTACGTCGGCAAGGAGATGTGAGGGCTCACATCACTTTTGGCAGCCTGCAAGAGCGCTAAGATCTCCATGGTATACACAGCTTTCGTCCAGGCGGTGCCGTCAGGTAGCATCCAGGCGGGCGGAGATCCTGCCTGTCCTGCCACAGGCCAAGCACAGGCGATGATGGCCCTCTTGAAGGCCAAGTTACTCCACAGGTGTTCGATGGCTCCTTGCCAGGGCAGTAGGTGCATATTCTCCACGTAGAAGTGCCCGCAACCTGGGAGAGGCAGCACCGCCGCATTGGCCTCTCCAGAGTCGATATTCGGCCGTCAGGATCCCGTACCCGTCGTCCAGGACAGATAACAGACCCGCAGTGGCAAGGGGATGTGCCCCATGGTGGTCAGCCAGTGGGGACTTAACAGCAAGAACTATCGAGGCAAGACCGGCCCAGGGCACTCCATGGTGGTCAGCCAGTGGAGCAGCCCCGAGCGAAAGGTCCTCCGCTCACCCTGGCTTGCAGCTGCGCCCACCTGGATAGATGTCCGCGCACAAGCAAAGTCTCATCAGACAGCCAGAGGGGAGGCCACACACGCAAGCCCGAAAGCTCGCCGGGGTCTCGGAGACTGCAATCTGGTGGGCAATGGTCCCTCCAGAGCCCAAGCCAATAAGGTACGTCGGCAAGGAGATGTGAGGGCTCACATCACTTTTGGCAGCCTGCAAGAGCGCTAAGATCTCCATGGTATACACAGCTTTCGAGGTAGCATCCAGGCGGGCAGAGATCCTGCCTGCCCTGCCGCAGGCCAAGCACAGGCCTCTCCAGAATCGATCTTCGGCCGTCAGGATCCCGTAGCCGTCGTCAAGGATAGATAACAGACCCGCAGTGGCAAAGGATGACAGGTCAGACTCCCCAAAGGAGAGGAAAGACGTGCGTATGCCCCATGGTGGTCAGCCAGTGGGGACTTAACAGCAAGAACTATCAAGGCAAGACCGGCCCAGGGCACTCCATGGTGGTCAGCCAGTGGAGCCCGTCTCAGAGACTGCAATCTGGTTGGCAAAAGTGTTGTCTCGTCCCGCGATGAGCGGTGGGGCAACCAGTGTGAGCGGCTGCTGGTCAAAGCCACCCGGTCAAAGAGGGGCAGAGGAGAGGAAGACTGGGCAGCCTTAACACGATGAACAATCAAGGTAAGACCAGCCCAGAACACTCCATAGAGGTCAGCCAGTGGTGCAGCCCCGAGCGAGAGGTCTCCAATCCACTAGGCTCACCGCAGCGCCCACCCAGAAGGGTGTCTCCGTCCCGACAAGTAGCATCAACCAGCCAGGAGGGCAACGCGCATTGGAGGAAACACCAGTCCTTGCACATAGTGGAGCAGTGGACCTTAGGGTGAGCCAAAGGTTCCAAACCGTCCAGTCCGGTTTAATTCAGATGATGCTTTCTTAAGTTTCTGCCACGAGCCAAGTTGTTTCAACAAAACAAGCATTTTGCTTGTTTTTGCCAATTTGTAACGTTGCCTTGTTGTGCCTTAAAATGCCTTGATGCAAAATTCCTTACCCAAACCTTCAACAAAACCTGGTTTTATTTAGTGCCTTGAAAACGCCTCAAAATGCACAGTTTTCTGCTATTTTTGAAGAAAATCAAATTTGACGCGTTTTTTCACAATTGCAACATTTTGAAAATTGGCGTTAAAAATGCCAAACGCGCTGCAAAAAAAAAACAACTTTGGCCCAAATGAGTGTGTTGGCGTGCGCAAACCTGACAAAACATTCCCAATTAATATGTGGAAAAATCAAAGTACCTAAAGACAGCACAACGCGCCGCCGCAATTGAACATGTGGCACTCTTAAACTCTGTTCCAGAGGGCGTTGCTTTGCAGCTTACAATCACAAGCAAAGCGGAAATTTACCAGCGTAAAGCCCACCCATAGTTCACAAAACGGATTAAAATCTGGTGTGGCAAGTTAACAAGTTCAAAAAACAAAATTTGCTCAACGGCTTTTTTGCAGAGTTTCGTTGCCTGGTCTACCTAATGCCGTCTTCAGGGCGACTGCGCTGCACACTCAAACCCTTAGAATTTTTTTCAACCTTGGTTTGCAATGGAATCTAAAGAAAGCAAACTGTGCTTAAAATGTCAAAAACAACCACGCAGCTTAGCCTACCTCTACTGTCAAAAATTGGACTGTGTCGGCAAAAAACGATGCATTGGCAGGTCCGTTTGTTCCAGTTTAAGTACTGAGAAGGCCACGTTCATGAGGCAGTTCTTTTTAGTTAGACTTTGCGGCCTCAGATTTGGGGTCGGGCTTCCACTGGATTTTCTGCGTTTTGCATGTGATTTGCTACAGTTTGCTTTTTTCCACGCAGAGTTGCATTGCTAATTTTTGCATGAACAGTTTTGTTAAAGACTCTTAAAGATGTTTGCTCCGATTTGCGCTTGAACTTCGGAAGCGCCAGAGCAGCGACAGAGCCGGCGCGCTGCTGTGCGCACCATCTGCAGATTGAGTACTGTACTGCTTTGGCCAGCCCAGAGAAGTTGGGCAAAGATGTCGGCGGGCAGTTGCTGGCAGAGCGCGTCGTACTTCGCCAGGCCACTTGGTCATGAGTGTTCTTGCTGTGCAGGAATGCGCTCGTGGTCTGCGGTGCTTGCGTTGATGTACTGCTAGAGATTTGTGCTGCTCAGATTTTAGAAGGCGAGGAGCTACAGCTCTTAGAGGACACTGTGCAAGTATGAAAGTGCGGTTGGGAGAGCTTTAAATTTCTCCGATGCGCCTGAACCAAGTGCTTCTGAACCGTCTGCTGCCGCCCTACTCGTGCGAGAAGGGCCAGAGGGTGCGAGCCCGGCTTTCCGCATCCATGGGGCAGACGTCCAATTGACTTTCAACAAGACATCTTGGAGGGCTCCACAGAGACTTGGTTTTCCTCGGGCGGCGCCCTTCTGGTGGCCCAGTTTCAGGAATGGGCTATGGAGATTTTGCCACCCAAACGCGAGCCCATTAAACACATCTCTCTCACCTTGGAAGAGTCCTGCCGTGCTGCAGAGGGTACATCTCGAGTCCACTTGCACGCGCAAATCACGTTTGAGCGCAGAATCGATCGCACTTCCGTTGCTGACTTCATGTTTGATGGTGTACGTCCGCATGTTGTGACTCACCCGCATTCAGCGGCAGTGCACGGTGTGTCCGTACCCTTATTGTAAGCTCTTCAGTGCAGTTTTGACATCCAAGGAGCTGAACAAGGCCCGTGGGCCTCATGTGGCCGTGTCACGCAACCGATCCCACTTTTACGTTTACTGCACCAAAGTGGGAACTCTATGGTCCTTTACCAACTACTGGCCCTTTGTGGATTACGAAGTACAACCTCATTGGCTTATGGGCTGGTGGGCCACGGGGAAGTTGACTAACGAGCAGTACAAGGGATATTTGCGACGCTGCAAGCGCTCTTACAGAACATTGTTACAAAATTTTGAGTCTGTGGTGCAAGCTGAGAAAGCTGCGCAGCTTACAGAGTACCGCGAGGCCGTAGCCCAGGTGTTGTCCTTAGCGCGCTTGCCCTTTCGATGTGTTGATGACCCGTGACTTGGCAGCCGCAGGAATTTCTGCATTTCTTAAAGTTGAATGCGTGCTGGTGCGAGGTTTGTGGCTAATCTCAGTAGACTCAGTAGACTTGTCAGCGCCTACGACCAGATGAGGTTGTTTCCAAACTTGCAGGCGTTCCTGGACCAGTTCCACTGGGCAACAGATCGGTACAAGATTTATGCTCTTCAAGGGCACTCGCAAGCAGCAAAGACATCGTTTGTGAAGTCGCTGTTTGCCAAACCTTTTGTCGTGACTATTCAAGGGCAGGACGTCTTGAATCTACAAGCCTTTGAGTATGGCCATCACGACGCCCTTATCCTAGACAACCTGGTGGATTGGTCTTTGATACTACAGTACCGTGCATTGCTTCAGGCTAATGTGGACTTGCATCGGTTGGGTGAGTCTGCGACAGGCATCTACGCGTACTCCGTCTTCCTTTGGGCTGTGCCCATCTGCATTACGCTGGATGCTGATGTGAATTGCGCGCCTTTCTACGCGTCCGACTGGTTGCAGGCCAACGTTTACCTGGACGTTCTCCCGCGTGGTGCAAAGTGCTACATTGAAGGTGAGCGGCCACGCGTTCGCATGACAGATGTGCCTCAGCTCCGGCGTTCTCCTTAACGCAGGCAGTGACAGGTCATGGCAAAATTGCAGGGCGTGACGTCACCCTTTGGGCGACGCTGGTTGTATAATACTTAAAAAACTGCGTGATGCTGGTTCCGGGCTGCAGGACTCCGTGTGAAGAGGTCCAGATGTTTGTTCCCCCTTTGCCCCCTAATTAACCTTTTGTAATTTGCCAAAGGGTGAATCGGGTGCTGATATTGGGGTTTCCGCAGGGTTTCCGGTTGTTTGGCAAGGGTTTCCAAGGGTTTCCCTCGTAATTTGTAGGGGTTTCCGGAAGGGTTTCCGGGGTTTCCCATGTAATTTGCAGGGTTTCCTTCGGGTTTGCCTGGGTTTCCTTAGGGTTTCCTTGGGGTTTCCTAGCAATTTCCACAGTTTCCATGGGGTTTCCTTTGGGTTTCGGTTGTTTTGGCAAGGGTTTCCAAGGGTTTCCCTCGTAGTTTGTAGGGGTTTCCGGAAGGGTTTCCGGGGTTTCCGTGTAATTTGCAGGGTTTCCTTCGGGTTTCCTTGGGTTTAGGGTTTCCTCAGCTTTTCTTACACTTTCCGCAGTTTCCATGGGGTTTCCTTTCTCTAGGGGTTTCCCCAGAGGTTTTCCGCAGCACTTGCCACCGTTTCAACAGTTCGAACATTTGGTACGGTTTTCATGATGTTTTTGTGTTTGATCGCCTGACCTGCCAGACTGCGCACAGGCTCAGTGCTCTACCTTCCTGTCTTCTGAGCTTATTCTTACTCGCCATGGCTCCAAAACGAAACGTGCCTGCCCAGGCGAATCTTGTTTCACTCAAGTTCGTTGCAACTTGACCCCAAGTAGACTGCTTTCAGGTTCTCGGCGACGAGCTGGCGGAGCTGAAACGCCGTCGCGCTGAATTGCGTGCCGACAACCGTGATTTGGCCAAGCAAGAGAAGAACCTGAAGAAGCGGCGTGCCAGGCTTCTGCAGGCAGGAGATGTCAACGTGGGATGTATGAGTCCTGCTTCTTGCAGCGATTCTTGCAGTCGCCTGCAGGCAGCTCGTCAACTAAGTCCTGCTGATTTGGTTCATCTGATACAACAACAAGGCTGTGGCTGGCCTTTTTTTTTTTTGTGTGACACTGCGCATTCTGCGCTCTAGGTGCTGCTGATGCACTTGCCGCTGCCGCGCCTGCTGGACCTGCTCCAGCAGCAGCTGCTGTTCCACCGGCTATGCCGGCAGGTGGGGTCGCTTGTTTGCGTGTGCCATTCTTCCAGCAACAATGTAAAAGCAACTGCGTGCCTGAAGGTGGTCACGCAGTTGGTGCTGCAGTGCCACCTGCAGCCGTCGGAGGCAAGAAGGCATGGATGTTGCCCATGTCGTCGCGCGCTTTGTGCTTCAGGCGATGACGGAGTCCATCCTGCGCTTGGACCAGTTGAAGATGTTGTCGATGTGGAAGGCTCCTGCGCACCCGCGCGCCAGAGTTTTTTTTTGTTTGTCTGTGTCTGTGTGTGTGTCTGTCTCTGCTGACCCATCTGCCAGGACCAGTGGCTAACGACGAGGGCGCAGGCGTGTCAGCAAGGATGTATGGTTGTGCAGCAGGGTGGATGATGCAGCGCGCCGAACTTGCAAGAAAGCAGGCGTGCACCCTGCAGATGGAGCAGCTGCAGGTGCCGTGCCTGCTCTTTTCCTGCGGAAGGTTGATGCTTTCGTATGTGTGTGTGGTGTCTGTGTGTGTCTGTGTGTCTGTGTCGGCCAGGTCATGTCGCTCACGACGAGGGCAGAGGCAGGCCGTTGTCGAAAAGGGAACATATCTCACCTCGCAAAGCGCCAGGCGAGCATCTTGGGGCGGATGTGGTCGAGGAGATCGAGTGAGGACGAATGCCATGGCCGCAATTCGCAATTCTCCTATACAGGACAGTCCGACAGTGCTACAGTGTCCTACAGGATTTTCTGTGCAGCAGCCTTGGTTGCTTAGCTTCAATCGGGGCCCGCAAACCATTGCAAAAGGCGTGTCCGTCCGTGCGGGACCTCCCCGGTTTCCTGGTAGTGTGTGTGGGGCTGGGATCTTGTGCGTGTTTTCTTTCTGTCTTGCATGTTCGGTATGTGTGTGTGTGTGTGTGTGTGCATAAATGTGCTGCTTTCGTGTAGATGAGATGTTGCAAGCGAAGGCAAGATCGCTTCTGTGCTCGACAGTCTGACATGCATGCTGGATCTCTTGCGCAGTGGCTGTAAGACTGTAAGATTTCCGTTCAGAATTTTCCAAGCACAATACAATCTCGATCTTGACACAGCTGTCCCCTAAGCCGGACAAGTCGTAGATTAGTTTTTTTTGGCAGCGCCTCATCTTTGTAAGCCTTTGTACGCCTTGTCTTTTGGCACTGATGTCCTCTGCGTCCCCCAACAACATGCAAGACTTGCAGCGACGCATCAGCAACCTGGCTAAAAGGTACAAAAGAGCAAGGGCTGCAGAAGAAGTGGCAGCTCAGCCACGCGAAGCGTTGCAGCTTCTACGACGATGTCGGCCAGACAGCCCGAGATGTCTTATGGTGTACTTCCTGGCGGGGCAATCTTGTGCTGCCGCAGTTGACTTTGTGGTAGGGCGCGGGTGGGAGCGTGCAAAACGCGGGCATCCTTCACCGGATCGAGATGAGGTGGCGAAGTTGACGGCTGATGTTGAGCAGGCTGTGGCCCGATCTCCTGCCTCGGCTTTCAGCGCTTTGCAGAGAAACCCACTCAGTGACTTCGAGCTGTGCGATTTGTTTTGCGCTCACAAGTATGTCATGGAACGCAGCTTGTACGGATGGATTGCAAGCCAGAACAACGACCAAGGAGTCGCACCGTCTCGAGAACAAGTCATGGCGCAGCTTCCTGAACACATCTCCCAACAGGCTCCGCTGCAGATCCGGACTCGGTTATGTAATCTTGCATGTGGCAGTCCACGCAAGCAACGCAAGTGGCTGGCCCGGTTTCGAAGACGTTGGGGTGCCAGACTTGGTGTTCTGCGTGTGCAAGAGTTCGTGCCCGTGGAGGAGAAGCCACGCAAGGCTGGCGGTCAAGGTTTTGTGGTCTTGAGCTCGGTAGCTCAGTGTTCCCTGTCCATTGTTGGAGGGTGAGTGCTGCGGGCCCGTTTTCGGGTCCGTTTCCCGGCCCCGTTTTCAGCTCCGCTAGCTTAAGTAGCTTATGAACCAAATGCCCTTAAGCGGACCTGGTTCTGGGTCCTGGAGTGCTTGCGCTTGGGCCAGGCAGCGGCTTACTTCCAGTGGCTGAACTTCGCCATCGATGCAGCTCCGGTGCACAGACCTCTGCTGATCCTGAACATGGACGAGACCGCAGTGGGCCGGCACCAGAGCGGCCTCCGTGGTACAGTTGCGACGTTGCCCAAAGCCACCTTGCCAGCGAGTGATCGTGCGTCCTTAGCGGATCGCCGAAGCTACGTCTCTTACTTGGCTTGTGTGACAGATGATGCAAGAGTCCAGCCCCGACTTCCACAGGTCCTCCTCGGCAACACTCACCTGTTCACCTTGGACTTACTTCGGTCCTGTTCTGGGAAGTTGCCGGACAATGTTGTTCTGTGGCGGCAAACGTCTTCATGGAACTCTCATGCAACTATGAGGAGGTGGCTAACGCTGCTCGCGAAAGCTTTGGGCCCTTTGGTGGAGGAAAGATATGTCGTGCTCTTGCTCGATGTTCATTCCTCACATATCCACCAATCTATTTTTCTTCACGCCCGACGCTGTGGTGTAAGATTGATATACATACCCGCCAAGATGACGCGGCTTCTACAACCTTGTGATACGCACGTCTTTTCCAAGTTCAAGTTGGCCTTGCGGATAGCGTGGCAAAATTGTAAGTCACGCAGCCCTGCTGCAAGTCCAACTGCCGTGTCTTGGGTTCACGTCGTCAGCCAAACAATCCAGGCAGTCATATCACGCGGGAGCTGGCAAAAGGCTTTCCTTGCTGATGGAGCTCTGCGTTTTCAGACGCAGCTCTCGACTAGATTGCGGGTTGAGTTAGACGTCGATGAAGCTGCCGTCTGGCTACACGTGGCTCCCACAACGGAAGAAGTCGCATGCGTTTTTCCTTCGCGGCTCAAGATTGATACACTTTCCTATGTGCTGTGGCAGCCACGCTCTCACCGTGTCCAGGGAGCAAGACCCTCGCAGCGTTCGACGGCAGCCAGATCATCTGAACCACCCCTTGTGCCGCAGTTTCACCGACGCGTCCTGCCGTCTACGTTCCTTACAGCCAGGATGGCTCCGATTGTTCGCCGGCTGGAGTGAGTGGAGCGCCAAGAAGAGTAACTGAGAAGGCCACGTTCATGAGGCAGGTCTTTTAGTAAGACTTTGCGGCCTCAGATTTGGGGTCGGGCTTCCAGTGGATTTTGCTGCGTTTTGCATGTGATTTGCTACAGTTTGCTTTTTTCCACGCAGAGTTGCATTGCTACTTTTTGCATGAACAGTTTTGTTAAAGACTCTTGAAGATGTTTGCTCCGATTTGCGCTTGAACTTTTGACTTTTGCGGATTTTTGCATGGAAAGCTTAGCTTAGCTTCGCACATGAACATCTGCGCAGTCTGGGTCCGAATCCAGCCCTTGTTGTTGCGCGCGCTCTCTGCAGCCGTGCTATGCCAGTGTCGGAAGCGCCAGAGCAGCGACAGAGCCGGCGCGCTGCTGTGCGCACCATCTGCAGATTGAGTACTGCTTTGGCCAGCCCAGAGAAGTTGGGCAAAGATGTCGGCGGGCAGTTGCTGGCAGAGCGCGTCGTACAACTTCGCCAGGCCACTTGGTCATGAGTGTTCTTGCTGTGTAGGAATGCGCTCGTGGTCTGCGGTGCTTGCGTATGATGTACTGCTAGAGAGTTGTGCTGCTCAGGTTTTAGAAGGCGAGGAGCTACAGCTCTTAGAGGACACTGTGCAGCAGTATGAAAGTGCGGTTGGGAGAGCTTTAAATTTCTCCGATGCGCCTGAACCAAGTGCTTCTGAACCGTCTGCTGCCGCCCTACCCGTGCGAGAAGGGCCAGAGGGTGCGAGCCCGGCTTTCCGCATCCATGGGGCAGACGTCCAATTGACTTTCAACAAGACATCTTGGAGGGCTCCACAGAGACTTGGTTTTCCTCGGGCGGCGCCCTTCTGGTGGCCCAGTTTCAGGAATGGGCTATGGAGATTTTGCCACCCAAATTTCGCGAGCCCATTAAACACATCTCTCTCACCTTGGAAGAGTCCTGCCGTGCTGCAGAGGGTACATCTCGAGTCCACTTGCACGCGCAAATCACGTTTGAGCGCAGAATCGATCGCACTTCCGTTGCTGACTTCATGTTTGATGGTGTACGTCCGCATGTTGTGACTCACCCGCATTCAGCGGCAGTGCACGGTGTGTCCGTACCCTTATTGTAAGCTCTTCAGTGCAGTTTTGACATCCAAGGAGCTGAACAAGGCCCGTGGGCCTCATGTGGCCGTGTCACGCAACCGATCCCACTTTTACGTTTACTGCACCAAAGTGGGAACTCTATGGTCCTTTACCAACTACTGGCCCTTTGTGGATTACGAAGTACAACCTCATTGGCTTATGGGCTGGTGGGCCACGGGGAAGTTGACTAACGAGCAGTACAAGGGATATTTGCGACGCTGCAAGCGCTCTTACAGAACATTGTTACAAAATTTTGAGTCTGTGGTGCAAGCTGAGAAAGCTGCGCAGCTTACAGAGTACCGCGAGGCCGTAGCCCAGGTGTTGTCCTTAGCGCGCTTGCCCTTTCGATGTGTTGATGACCCGTGACTTGGCAGCCGCAGGAATTTCTGCATTTCTTAAAGTTGAATGCGTGCTGGTGCGAGGTTTGTGGCTAATCTCAGTAGACTCAGTAGACTTGTCAGCGCCTACGACCAGATGAGGTTGTTTCCAAACTTGCAGGCGTTCCTGGACCAGTTCCACTGGGCAACAGATCGGTACAAGATTTATGCTCTTCAAGGGCACTCGCAAGCAGCAAAGACATCGTTTGTGAAGTCGCTGTTTGCCAAACCTTTTGTCGTGACTATTCAAGGGCAGGACGTCTTGAATCTACAAGCCTTTGAGTATGGCCATCACGACGCCCTTATCCTAGACAACCTGGTGGATTGGTCTTTGATACTACAGTACCGTGCATTGCTTCAGGCTAATGTGGACTTGCATCGGTTGGGTGAGTCTGCGACAGGCATCTACGCGTACTCCGTCTTCCTTTGGGCTGTGCCCATCTGCATTACGCTGGATGCTGATGTGAATTGCGCGCCTTTCTACGCGTCCGACTGGTTGCAGGCCAACGTTTACCTGGACGTTCTCCCGCGTGGTGCAAAGTGCTACATTGAAGGTGAGCGGCCACGCGTTCGCATGACAGATGTGCCTCAGCTCCGGCGTTCTCCTTAACGCAGGCAGTGACAGGTCATGGCAAAATTGCAGGGCGTGACGTCACCCTTTGGGCGACGCTGGTTGTATAATACTTAAAAAACTGCGTGATGCTGGTTCCGGGCTGCAGGACTCCGTGTGAAGAGGTCCAGATGTTTGTTCCCCCTTTGCCCCCTAATTAACCTTTTGTAATTTGCCAAAGGGTGAATCGGGTGCTGATATTGGGGTTTCCGCAGGGTTTCCGGTTGTTTGGCAAGGGTTTCCAAGGGTTTCCCTCGTAATTTGTAGGGGTTTCCGGAAGGGTTTCCGGGGTTTCCCATGTAATTTGCAGGGTTTCCTTCGGGTTTGCCTGGGTTTCCTTAGGGTTTCCTTGGGGTTTCCTAGCAATTTCCACAGTTTCCATGGGGTTTCCTTTGGGTTTCGGTTGTTTTGGCAAGGGTTTCCAAGGGTTTCCCTCGTAGTTTGTAGGGGTTTCCGGAAGGGTTTCCGGGGTTTCCGTGTAATTTGCAGGGTTTCCTTCGGGTTTCCTTGGGTTTAGGGTTTCCTCAGCTTTTCTTACACTTTCCGCAGTTTCCATGGGGTTTCCTTTCTCTAGGGGTTTCCCCAGAGGTTTTCCGCAGCACTTGCCACCGTTTCAACAGTTCGAACATTTGGTACGGTTTTCATGATGTTTTTGTGTTTGATCGCCTGACCTGCCAGACTGCGCACAGGCTCAGTGCTCTACCTTCCTGTCTTCTGAGCTTATTCTTACTCGCCATGGCTCCAAAACGAAACGTGCCTGCCCAGGCGAATCTTGTTTCACTCAAGTTCGTTGCAACTTGACCCCAAGTAGACTGCTTTCAGGTTCTCGGCGACGAGCTGGCGGAGCTGAAACGCCGTCGCGCTGAATTGCGTGCCGACAACCGTGATTTGGCCAAGCAAGAGAAGAACCTGAAGAAGCGGCGTGCCAGGCTTCTGCAGGCAGGAGATGTCAACGTGGGATGTATGAGTCCTGCTTCTTGCAGCGATTCTTGCAGTCGCCTGCAGGCAGCTCGTCAACTAAGTCCTGCTGATTTGGTTCATCTGATACAACAACAAGGCTGTGGCTGGCCTTTTTTTTTTTTTGTGTGACACTGCGCATTCTGCGCTCTAGGTGCTGCTGATGCACTTGCCGCTGCCGCGCCTGCTGGACCTGCTCCAGCAGCAGCTGCTGTTCCACCGGCTATGCCGGCAGGTGGGGTCGCTTGTTTGCGTGTGCCATTCTTCCAGCAACAATGTAAAAGCAACTGCGTGCCTGAAGGTGGTCACGCAGTTGGTGCTGCAGTGCCACCTGCAGCCGTCGGAGGCAAGAAGGCATGGATGTTGCCCATGTCGTCGCGCGCTTTGTGCTTCAGGCGATGACGGAGTCCATCCTGCGCTTGGACCAGTTGAAGATGTTGTCGATGTGGAAGGCTCCTGCGCACCCGCGCGCCAGAGTTTTTTTTTGTTTGTCTGTGTCTGTGTGTGTGTCTGTCTCTGCTGACCCATCTGCCAGGACCAGTGGCTAACGACGAGGGCGCAGGCGTGTCAGCAAGGATGTATGGTTGTGCAGCAGGGTGGATGATGCAGCGCGCCGAACTTGCAAGAAAGCAGGCGTGCACCCTGCAGATGGAGCAGCTGCAGGTGCCGTGCCTGCTCTTTTCCTGCGGAAGGTTGATGCTTTCGTATGTGTGTGTGGTGTCTGTGTGTGTCTGTGTGTCTGTGTCGGCCAGGTCATGTCGCTCACGACGAGGGCAGAGGCAGGCCGTTGTCGAAAAGGGAACATATCTCACCTCGCAAAGCGCCAGGCGAGCATCTTGGGGCGGATGTGGTCGAGGAGATCGAGTGAGGACGAATGCCATGGCCGCAATTCGCAATTCTCCTATACAGGACAGTCCGACAGTGCTACAGTGTCCTACAGGATTTTCTGTGCAGCAGCCTTGGTTGCTTAGCTTCAATCGGGGCCCGCAAACCATTGCAAAAGGCGTGTCCGTCCGTGCGGGACCTCCCCGGTTTCCTGGTAGTGTGTGTGGGGCTGGGATCTTGTGCGTGTTTTCTTTCTGTCTTGCATGTTCGGTATGTGTGTGTGTGTGTGTGTGTGCATAAATGTGCTGCTTTCGTGTAGATGAGATGTTGCAAGCGAAGGCAAGATCGCTTCTGTGCTCGACAGTCTGACATGCATGCTGGATCTCTTGCGCAGTGGCTGTAAGACTGTAAGATTTCCGTTCAGAATTTTCCAAGCACAATACAATCTCGATCTTGACACAGCTGTCCCCTAAGCCGGACAAGTCGTAGATTAGTTTTTTTTGGCAGCGCCTCATCTTTGTAAGCCTTTGTACGCCTTGTCTTTTGGCACTGATGTCCTCTGCGTCCCCCAACAACATGCAAGACTTGCAGCGACGCATCAGCAACCTGGCTAAAAGGTACAAAAGAGCAAGGGCTGCAGAAGAAGTGGCAGCTCAGCCACGCGAAGCGTTGCAGCTTCTACGACGATGTCGGCCAGACAGCCCGAGATGTCTTATGGTGTACTTCCTGGCGGGGCAATCTTGTGCTGCCGCAGTTGACTTTGTGGTAGGGCGCGGGTGGGAGCGTGCAAAACGCGGGCATCCTTCACCGGATCGAGATGAGGTGGCGAAGTTGACGGCTGATGTTGAGCAGGCTGTGGCCCGATCTCCTGCCTCGGCTTTCAGCGCTTTGCAGAGAAACCCACTCAGTGACTTCGAGCTGTGCGATTTGTTTTGCGCTCACAAGTATGTCATGGAACGCAGCTTGTACGGATGGATTGCAAGCCAGAACAACGACCAAGGAGTCGCACCGTCTCGAGAACAAGTCATGGCGCAGCTTCCTGAACACATCTCCCAACAGGCTCCGCTGCAGATCCGGACTCGGTTATGTAATCTTGCATGTGGCAGTCCACGCAAGCAACGCAAGTGGCTGGCCCGGTTTCGAAGACGTTGGGGTGCCAGACTTGGTGTTCTGCGTGTGCAAGAGTTCGTGCCCGTGGAGGAGAAGCGACGCAAGGCTGGCGGTCAAGGTTTTGTGGTCTTGAGCTCGGTAGCTCAGTGTTCCCTGTCCATTGTTGGAGGGTGAGTGCTGCGGGCCCGTTTTCGGGTCCGTTTCCCGGCCCCGTTTTCAGCTCCGCTAGCTTAAGTAGCTTATGAACCAAATGCCCTTAAGCGGACCTGGTTCTGGGTCCTGGAGTGCTTGCGCTTGGGCCAGGCAGCGGCTTACTTCCAGTGGCTGAACTTCGCCATCGATGCAGCTCCGGTGCACAGACCTCTGCTGATCCTGAACATGGACGAGACCGCAGTGGGCCGGCACCAGAGCGGCCTCCGTGGTACAGTTGCGACGTTGCCCAAAGCCACCTTGCCAGCGAGTGATCGTGCGTCCTTAGCGGATCGCCGAAGCTACGTCTCTTACTTGGCTTGTGTGACAGATGATGCAAGAGTCCAGCCCCGACTTCCACAGGTCCTCCTCGGCAACACTCACCTGTTCACCTTGGACTTACTTCGGTCCTGTTCTGGGAAGTTGCCGGACAATGTTGTTCTGTGGCGGCAAACGTCTTCATGGAACTCTCATGCAACTATGAGGAGGTGGCTAACGCTGCTCGCGAAAGCTTTGGGCCCTTTGGTGGAGGAAAGATATGTCGTGCTCTTGCTCGATGTTCATTCCTCACATATCCACCAATCTATTTTTCTTCACGCCCGACGCTGTGGTGTAAGATTGATATACATACCCGCCAAGATGACGCGGCTTCTACAACCTTGTGATACGCACGTCTTTTCCAAGTTCAAGTTGGCCTTGCGGATAGCGTGGCAAAATTGTAAGTCACGCAGCCCTGCTGCAAGTCCAACTGCCGTGTCTTGGGTTCACGTCGTCAGCCAAACAATCCAGGCAGTCATATCACGCGGGAGCTGGCAAAAGGCTTTCCTTGCTGATGGAGCTCTGCGTTTTCAGACGCAGCTCTCGACTAGATTGCGGGTTGAGTTAGACGTCGATGAAGCTGCCGTCTGGCTACACGTGGCTCCCACAACGGAAGAAGTCGCATGCGTTTTTCCTTCGCGGCTCAAGATTGATACACTTTCCTATGTGCTGTGGCAGCCACGCTCTCACCGTGTCCAGGGAGCAAGACCCTCGCAGCGTTCGACGGCAGCCAGATCATCTGAACCACCCCTTGTGCCGCAGTTTCACCGACGCGTCCTGCCGTCTACGTTCCTTACAGCCAGGATGGCTCCGATTGTTCGCCGGCTGGAGTGAGTGGAGCGCCAAGAAGAGTAACTGAGAAGGCCACGTTCATGAGGCAGGTCTTTTAGTAAGACTTTGCGGCCTCAGATTTGGGGTCGGGCTTCCAGTGGATTTTGCTGCGTTTTGCATGTGATTTGCTACAGTTTGCTTTTTTCCACGCAGAGTTGCATTGCTACTTTTTGCATGAACAGTTTTGTTAAAGACTCTTGAAGATGTTTGCTCCGATTTGCGCTTGAACTTTTGACTTTTGCGGATTTTTGCATGGAAAGCTTAGCTTAGCTTCGCACATGAACATCTGCGCAGTCTGGGTCCGAATCCAGCCCTTGTTGTTGCGCGCGCTCTCTGCAGCCGTGCTATGCCAGTGTCGGAAGCGCCAGAGCAGCGACAGAGCCGGCGCGCTGCTGTGCGCACCATCTGCAGATTGAGTACTGCTTTGGCCAGCCCAGAGAAGTTGGGCAAAGATGTCGGCGGGCAGTTGCTGGCAGAGCGCGTCGTACAACTTCGCCAGGCCACTTGGTCATGAGTGTTCTTGCTGTGTAGGAATGCGCTCGTGGTCTGCGGTGCTTGCGTATGATGTACTGCTAGAGAGTTGTGCTGCTCAGGTTTTAGAAGGCGAGGAGCTACAGCTCTTAGAGGACACTGTGCAGCAGTATGAAAGTGCGGTTGGGAGAGCTTTAAATTTCTCCGATGCGCCTGAACCAAGTGCTTCTGAACCGTCTGCTGCCGCCCTACCCGTGCGAGAAGGGCCAGAGGGTGCGAGCCCGGCTTTCCGCATCCATGGGGCAGACGTCCAATTGACTTTCAACAAGACATCTTGGAGGGCTCCACAGAGACTTGGTTTTCCTCGGGCGGCGCCCTTCTGGTGGCCCAGTTTCAGGAATGGGCTATGGAGATTTTGCCACCCAAATTTCGCGAGCCCATTAAACACATCTCTCTCACCTTGGAAGAGTCCTGCCGTGCTGCAGAGGGTACATCTCGAGTCCACTTGCACGCGCAAATCACGTTTGAGCGCAGAATCGATCGCACTTCCGTTGCTGACTTCATGTTTGATGGTGTACGTCCGCATGTTGTGACTCACCCGCATTCAGCGGCAGTGCACGGTGTGTCCGTACCCTTATTGTAAGCTCTTCAGTGCAGTTTTGACATCCAAGGAGCTGAACAAGGCCCGTGGGCCTCATGTGGCCGTGTCACGCAACCGATCCCACTTTTACGTTTACTGCACCAAAGTGGGAACTCTATGGTCCTTTACCAACTACTGGCCCTTTGTGGATTACGAAGTACAACCTCATTGGCTTATGGGCTGGTGGGCCACGGGGAAGTTGACTAACGAGCAGTACAAGGGATATTTGCGACGCTGCAAGCGCTCTTACAGAACATTGTTACAAAATTTTGAGTCTGTGGTGCAAGCTGAGAAAGCTGCGCAGCTTACAGAGTACCGCGAGGCCGTAGCCCAGGTGTTGTCCTTAGCGCGCTTGCCCTTTCGATGTGTTGATGACCCGTGACTTGGCAGCCGCAGGAATTTCTGCATTTCTTAAAGTTGAATGCGTGCTGGTGCGAGGTTTGTGGCTAATCTCAGTAGACTCAGTAGACTTGTCAGCGCCTACGACCAGATGAGGTTGTTTCCAAACTTGCAGGCGTTCCTGGACCAGTTCCACTGGGCAACAGATCGGTACAAGATTTATGCTCTTCAAGGGCACTCGCAAGCAGCAAAGACATCGTTTGTGAAGTCGCTGTTTGCCAAACCTTTTGTCGTGACTATTCAAGGGCAGGACGTCTTGAATCTACAAGCCTTTGAGTATGGCCATCACGACGCCCTTATCCTAGACAACCTGGTGGATTGGTCTTTGATACTACAGTACCGTGCATTGCTTCAGGCTAATGTGGACTTGCATCGGTTGGGTGAGTCTGCGACAGGCATCTACGCGTACTCCGTCTTCCTTTGGGCTGTGCCCATCTGCATTACGCTGGATGCTGATGTGAATTGCGCGCCTTTCTACGCGTCCGACTGGTTGCAGGCCAACGTTTACCTGGACGTTCTCCCGCGTGGTGCAAAGTGCTACATTGAAGGTGAGCGGCCACGCGTTCGCATGACAGATGTGCCTCAGCTCCGGCGTTCTCCTTAACGCAGGCAGTGACAGGTCATGGCAAAATTGCAGGGCGTGACGTCACCCTTTGGGCGACGCTGGTTGTATAATACTTAAAAAACTGCGTGATGCTGGTTCCGGGCTGCAGGACTCCGTGTGAAGAGGTCCAGATGTTTGTTCCCCCTTTGCCCCCTAATTAACCTTTTGTAATTTGCCAAAGGGTGAATCGGGTGCTGATATTGGGGTTTCCGCAGGGTTTCCGGTTGTTTGGCAAGGGTTTCCAAGGGTTTCCCTCGTAATTTGTAGGGGTTTCCGGAAGGGTTTCCGGGGTTTCCCATGTAATTTGCAGGGTTTCCTTCGGGTTTGCCTGGGTTTCCTTAGGGTTTCCTTGGGGTTTCCTAGCAATTTCCACAGTTTCCATGGGGTTTCCTTTGGGTTTCGGTTGTTTTGGCAAGGGTTTCCAAGGGTTTCCCTCGTAGTTTGTAGGGGTTTCCGGAAGGGTTTCCGGGGTTTCCGTGTAATTTGCAGGGTTTCCTTCGGGTTTCCTTGGGTTTAGGGTTTCCTCAGCTTTTCTTACACTTTCCGCAGTTTCCATGGGGTTTCCTTTCTCTAGGGGTTTCCCCAGAGGTTTTCCGCAGCACTTGCCACCGTTTCAACAGTTCGAACATTTGGTACGGTTTTCATGATGTTTTTGTGTTTGATCGCCTGACCTGCCAGACTGCGCACAGGCTCAGTGCTCTACCTTCCTGTCTTCTGAGCTTATTCTTACTCGCCATGGCTCCAAAACGAAACGTGCCTGCCCAGGCGAATCTTGTTTCACTCAAGTTCGTTGCAACTTGACCCCAAGTAGACTGCTTTCAGGTTCTCGGCGACGAGCTGGCGGAGCTGAAACGCCGTCGCGCTGAATTGCGTGCCGACAACCGTGATTTGGCCAAGCAAGAGAAGAACCTGAAGAAGCGGCGTGCCAGGCTTCTGCAGGCAGGAGATGTCAACGTGGGATGTATGAGTCCTGCTTCTTGCAGCGATTCTTGCAGTCGCCTGCAGGCAGCTCGTCAACTAAGTCCTGCTGATTTGGTTCATCTGATACAACAACAAGGCTGTGGCTGGCCTTTTTTTTTTTTTGTGTGACACTGCGCATTCTGCGCTCTAGGTGCTGCTGATGCACTTGCCGCTGCCGCGCCTGCTGGACCTGCTCCAGCAGCAGCTGCTGTTCCACCGGCTATGCCGGCAGGTGGGGTCGCTTGTTTGCGTGTGCCATTCTTCCAGCAACAATGTAAAAGCAACTGCGTGCCTGAAGGTGGTCACGCAGTTGGTGCTGCAGTGCCACCTGCAGCCGTCGGAGGCAAGAAGGCATGGATGTTGCCCATGTCGTCGCGCGCTTTGTGCTTCAGGCGATGACGGAGTCCATCCTGCGCTTGGACCAGTTGAAGATGTTGTCGATGTGGAAGGCTCCTGCGCACCCGCGCGCCAGAGTTTTTTTTTGTTTGTCTGTGTCTGTGTGTGTGTCTGTCTCTGCTGACCCATCTGCCAGGACCAGTGGCTAACGACGAGGGCGCAGGCGTGTCAGCAAGGATGTATGGTTGTGCAGCAGGGTGGATGATGCAGCGCGCCGAACTTGCAAGAAAGCAGGCGTGCACCCTGCAGATGGAGCAGCTGCAGGTGCCGTGCCTGCTCTTTTCCTGCGGAAGGTTGATGCTTTCGTATGTGTGTGTGGTGTCTGTGTGTGTCTGTGTGTCTGTGTCGGCCAGGTCATGTCGCTCACGACGAGGGCAGAGGCAGGCCGTTGTCGAAAAGGGAACATATCTCACCTCGCAAAGCGCCAGGCGAGCATCTTGGGGCGGATGTGGTCGAGGAGATCGAGTGAGGACGAATGCCATGGCCGCAATTCGCAATTCTCCTATACAGGACAGTCCGACAGTGCTACAGTGTCCTACAGGATTTTCTGTGCAGCAGCCTTGGTTGCTTAGCTTCAATCGGGGCCCGCAAACCATTGCAAAAGGCGTGTCCGTCCGTGCGGGACCTCCCCGGTTTCCTGGTAGTGTGTGTGGGGCTGGGATCTTGTGCGTGTTTTCTTTCTGTCTTGCATGTTCGGTATGTGTGTGTGTGTGTGTGTGCATAAATGTGCTGCTTTCGTGTAGATGAGATGTTGCAAGCGAAGGCAAGATCGCTTCTGTGCTCGACAGTCTGACATGCATGCTGGATCTCTTGCGCAGTGGCTGTAAGACTGTAAGATTTCCGTTCAGAATTTTCCAAGCACAATACAATCTCGATCTTGACACAGCTGTCCCCTAAGCCGGACAAGTCGTAGATTAGTTTTTTTTGGCAGCGCCTCATCTTTGTAAGCCTTTGTACGCCTTGTCTTTTGGCACTGATGTCCTCTGCGTCCCCCAACAACATGCAAGACTTGCAGCGACGCATCAGCAACCTGGCTAAAAGGTACAAAAGAGCAAGGGCTGCAGAAGAAGTGGCAGCTCAGCCACGCGAAGCGTTGCAGCTTCTACGACGATGTCGGCCAGACAGCCCGAGATGTCTTATGGTGTACTTCCTGGCGGGGCAATCTTGTGCTGCCGCAGTTGACTTTGTGGTAGGGCGCGGGTGGGAGCGTGCAAAACGCGGGCATCCTTCACCGGATCGAGATGAGGTGGCGAAGTTGACGGCTGATGTTGAGCAGGCTGTGGCCCGATCTCCTGCCTCGGCTTTCAGCGCTTTGCAGAGAAACCCACTCAGTGACTTCGAGCTGTGCGATTTGTTTTGCGCTCACAAGTATGTCATGGAACGCAGCTTGTACGGATGGATTGCAAGCCAGAACAACGACCAAGGAGTCGCACCGTCTCGAGAACAAGTCATGGCGCAGCTTCCTGAACACATCTCCCAACAGGCTCCGCTGCAGATCCGGACTCGGTTATGTAATCTTGCATGTGGCAGTCCACGCAAGCAACGCAAGTGGCTGGCCCGGTTTCGAAGACGTTGGGGTGCCAGACTTGGTGTTCTGCGTGTGCAAGAGTTCGTGCCCGTGGAGGAGAAGCCACGCAAGGCTGGCGGTCAAGGTTTTGTGGTCTTGAGCTCGGTAGCTCAGTGTTCCCTGTCCATTGTTGGAGGGTGAGTGCTGCGGGCCCGTTTTCGGGTCCGTTTCCCGGCCCCGTTTTCAGCTCCGCTAGCTTAAGTAGCTTATGAACCAAATGCCCTTAAGCGGACCTGGTTCTGGGTCCTGGAGTGCTTGCGCTTGGGCCAGGCAGCGGCTTACTTCCAGTGGCTGAACTTCGCCATCGATGCAGCTCCGGTGCACAGACCTCTGCTGATCCTGAACATGGACGAGACCGCAGTGGGCCGGCACCAGAGCGGCCTCCGTGGTACAGTTGCGACGTTGCCCAAAGCCACCTTGCCAGCGAGTGATCGTGCGTCCTTAGCGGATCGCCGAAGCTACGTCTCTTACTTGGCTTGTGTGACAGATGATGCAAGAGTCCAGCCCCGACTTCCACAGGTCCTCCTCGGCAACACTCACCTGTTCACCTTGGACTTACTTCGGTCCTGTTCTGGGAAGTTGCCGGACAATGTTGTTCTGTGGCGGCAAACGTCTTCATGGAACTCTCATGCAACTATGAGGAGGTGGCTAACGCTGCTCGCGAAAGCTTTGGGCCCTTTGGTGGAGGAAAGATATGTCGTGCTCTTGCTCGATGTTCATTCCTCACATATCCACCAATCTATTTTTCTTCACGCCCGACGCTGTGGTGTAAGATTGATATACATACCCGCCAAGATGACGCGGCTTCTACAACCTTGTGATACGCACGTCTTTTCCAAGTTCAAGTTGGCCTTGCGGATAGCGTGGCAAAATTGTAAGTCACGCAGCCCTGCTGCAAGTCCAACTGCCGTGTCTTGGGTTCACGTCGTCAGCCAAACAATCCAGGCAGTCATATCACGCGGGAGCTGGCAAAAGGCTTTCCTTGCTGATGGAGCTCTGCGTTTTCAGACGCAGCTCTCGACTAGATTGCGGGTTGAGTTAGACGTCGATGAAGCTGCCGTCTGGCTACACGTGGCTCCCACAACGGAAGAAGTCGCATGCGTTTTTCCTTCGCGGCTCAAGATTGATACACTTTCCTATGTGCTGTGGCAGCCACGCTCTCACCGTGTCCAGGGAGCAAGACCCTCGCAGCGTTCGACGGCAGCCAGATCATCTGAACCACCCCTTGTGCCGCAGTTTCACCGACGCGTCCTGCCGTCTACGTTCCTTACAGCCAGGATGGCTCCGATTGTTCGCCGGCTGGAGTGAGTGGAGCGCCAAGAAGAGTAACTGAGAAGGCCACGTTCATGAGGCAGGTCTTTTAGTAAGACTTTGCGGCCTCAGATTTGGGGTCGGGCTTCCAGTGGATTTTGCTGCGTTTTGCATGTGATTTGCTACAGTTTGCTTTTTTCCACGCAGAGTTGCATTGCTACTTTTTGCATGAACAGTTTTGTTAAAGACTCTTGAAGATGTTTGCTCCGATTTGCGCTTGAACTTTTGACTTTTGCGGATTTTTGCATGGAAAGCTTAGCTTAGCTTCGCACATGAACATCTGCGCAGTCTGGGTCCGAATCCAGCCCTTGTTGTTGCGCGCGCTCTCTGCAGCCGTGCTATGCCAGTGTCGGAAGCGCCAGAGCAGCGACAGAGCCGGCGCGCTGCTGTGCGCACCATCTGCAGATTGAGTACTGCTTTGGCCAGCCCAGAGAAGTTGGGCAAAGATGTCGGCGGGCAGTTGCTGGCAGAGCGCGTCGTACAACTTCGCCAGGCCACTTGGTCATGAGTGTTCTTGCTGTGTAGGAATGCGCTCGTGGTCCGCGGTGCTTGCGTGTGATGTACTGCTAGAGAGTTGTGCTGCTTAGGTTTTAGAAGGCGAGGAGCTACAGCTCTTAGAGGACACTGTGCAGCAGTATGAAAGTGCGGTTGGGAGAGCTTTAAATTTCTCCGATGCGCCTGAACCAAGTGCTTCTGAACCGTCTGCTGCCGCCCTACCCGTGCGAGAAGGGCCAGAGGGTGCGAGCCCGGCTTTCCGCATCCATGGGGCAGACGTCCAATTGACTTTCAACAAGACATCTTGGAGGGCTCCGTTCGAGCAGTGCACAGAGACTTGGTTTTCCTCGGGCGGCACCCTTCTGGTGGCCCAGTTTCAGGAATGGGCTATGGAGATTTTGCCACCCAAATTTCGCGAGCCCAATAAACACATCTCTCTCACCTTGGAAGAGTCCTGCCGTGCTGCAGAGGGTACATCTCGAGTCCACTTGCACGCGCAAATCACGTTTGAGCGCAGAATCGATCGCACTTCCGTTGCTGACTTCATGTTTGATGGTGTACGTCCGCATGTTGTGACTCACCCGCATTCAGCGGCAGTGCACGGTGTGTCCGTACCCTTATTGTAAGCTCTTCAGTGCAGTTTTGACATCCAAGGAGCTGAACAAGGCCCGTGGGCCTCATGTGGCCGTGTCACGCAACCGATCCCACTTTTACGTTTACTGCACCAAAGTGGGAACTCTATGGTCCTTTACCAACTACTGGCCCTTTGTGGATTACGAAGTACAACCTCATTGGCTTATGGGCTGGTGGGCCACGGGGAAGTTGACTAACGAGCAGTACAAGGGATATTTGCGACGCTGCAAGCGCTCTTACAGAACATTGTTACAAAATTTTGAGTCTGTGGTGCAAGCTGAGAAAGCTGCGCAGCTTACAGAGTACCGCGAGGCCGTAGCCCAGGTGTTGTCCTTAGCGCGCTTGCCCTTTCGATGTGTTGATGACCCGTGACTTGGCAGCCGCAGGAATTTCTGCATTTCTTAAAGTTGAATGCGTGCTGGTGCGAGGTTTGTGGCTAATCTCAGTAGACTCAGTAGACTTGTCAGCGCCTACGACCAGATGAGGTTGTTTCCAAACTTGCAGGCGTTCCTGGACCAGTTCCACTGGGCAACAGATCGGTACAAGATTTATGCTCTTCAAGGGCACTCGCAAGCAGCAAAGACATCGTTTGTGAAGTCGCTGTTTGCCAAACCTTTTGTCGTGACTATTCAAGGGCAGGACGTCTTGAATCTACAAGCCTTTGAGTATGGCCATCACGACGCCCTTATCCTAGACAACCTGGTGGATTGGTCTTTGATACTACAGTACCGTGCATTGCTTCAGGCTAATGTGGACTTGCATCGGTTGGGTGAGTCTGCGACAGGCATCTACGCGTACTCCGTCTTCCTTTGGGCTGTGCCCATCTGCATTACGCTGGATGCTGATGTGAATTGCGCGCCTTTCTACGCGTCCGACTGGTTGCAGGCCAACGTTTACCTGGACGTTCTCCCGCGTGGTGCAAAGTGCTACATTGAAGGTGAGCGGCCACGCGTTCGCATGACAGATGTGCCTCAGCTCCGGCGTTCTCCTTAACGCAGGCAGTGACAGGTCATGGCAAAATTGCAGGGCGTGACGTCACCCTTTGGGCGACGCTGGTTGTATAATACTTAAAAAACTGCGTGATGCTGGTTCCGGGCTGCAGGACTCCGTGTGAAGAGGTCCAGATGTTTGTTCCCCCTTTGCCCCCTAATTAACCTTTTGTAATTTGCCAAAGGGTGAATCGGGTGCTGATATTGGGGTTTCCGCAGGGTTTCCGGTTGTTTGGCAAGGGTTTCCAAGGGTTTCCCTCGTAATTTGTAGGGGTTTCCGGAAGGGTTTCCGGGGTTTCCCATGTAATTTGCAGGGTTTCCTTCGGGTTTGCCTGGGTTTCCTTAGGGTTTCCTTGGGGTTTCCTAGCAATTTCCACAGTTTCCATGGGGTTTCCTTTGGGTTTCGGTTGTTTTGGCAAGGGTTTCCAAGGGTTTCCCTCGTAGTTTGTAGGGGGGGTTTCCGGGGTTTCCGTGTAATTTGCAGGGTTTCCTTCGGGTTTCCTTGGGTTTAGGGTTTCCTCAGCTTTTCTTACACTTTCCGCAGTTTCCATGGGGTTTCCTTTCTCTAGGGGTTTCCCCAGAGGTTTTCCGCAGCACTTGCCACCGTTTCAACAGTTCGAACATTTGGTACGGTTTTCATGATGTTTTTGTGTTTGATCGCCTGACCTGCCAGACTGCGCACAGGCTCAGTGCTCTACCTTCCTGTCTTCTGAGCTTATTCTTACTCGCCATGGCTCCAAAACGAAACGTGCCTGCCCAGGCGAATCTTGTTTCACTCAAGTTCGTTGCAACTTGACCCCAAGTAGACTGCTTTCAGGTTCTCGGCGACGAGCTGGCGGAGCTGAAACGCCGTCGCGCTGAATTGCGTGCCGACAACCGTGATTTGGCCAAGCAAGAGAAGAACCTGAAGAAGCGGCGTGCCAGGCTTCTGCAGGCAGGAGATGTCAACGTGGGATGTATGAGTCCTGCTTCTTGCAGCGATTCTTGCAGTCGCCTGCAGGCAGCTCGTCAACTAAGTCCTGCTGATTTGGTTCATCTGATACAACAACAAGGCTGTGGCTGGCCTTTTTTTTTTTGTGTGACACTGCGCATTCTGCGCTCTAGGTGCTGCTGATGCACTTGCCGCTGCCGCGCCTGCTGGACCTGCTCCAGCAGCAGCTGCTGTTCCACCGGCTATGCCGGCAGGTGGGGTCGCTTGTTTGCGTGTGCCATTCTTCCAGCAACAATGTAAAAGCAACTGCGTGCCTGAAGGTGGTCACGCAGTTGGTGCTGCAGTGCCACCTGCAGCCGTCGGAGGCAAGAAGGCATGGATGTTGCCCATGTCGTCGCGCGCTTTGTGCTTCAGGCGATGACGGAGTCCATCCTGCGCTTGGACCAGTTGAAGATGTTGTCGATGTGGAAGGCTCCTGCGCACCCGCGCGCCAGAGTTTTTTTTTGTTTGTCTGTGTCTGTGTGTGTGTCTGTCTCTGCTGACCCATCTGCCAGGACCAGTGGCTAACGACGAGGGCGCAGGCGTGTCAGCAAGGATGTATGGTTGTGCAGCAGGGTGGATGATGCAGCGCGCCGAACTTGCAAGAAAGCAGGCGTGCACCCTGCAGATGGAGCAGCTGCAGGTGCCGTGCCTGCTCTTTTCCTGCGGAAGGTTGATGCTTTCGTATGTGTGTGTGGTGTCTGTGTGTGTCTGTGTGTCTGTGTCGGCCAGGTCATGTCGCTCACGACGAGGGCAGAGGCAGGCCGTTGTCGAAAAGGGAACATATCTCACCTCGCAAAGCGCCAGGCGAGCATCTTGGGGCGGATGTGGTCGAGGAGATCGAGTGAGGACGAATGCCATGGCCGCAATTCGCAATTCTCCTATACAGGACAGTCCGACAGTGCTACAGTGTCCTACAGGATTTTCTGTGCAGCAGCCTTGGTTGCTTAGCTTCAATCGGGGCCCGCAAACCATTGCAAAAGGCGTGTCCGTCCGTGCGGGACCTCCCCGGTTTCCTGGTAGTGTGTGTGGGGCTGGGATCTTGTGCGTGTTTTCTTTCTGTCTTGCATGTTCGGTATGTGTGTGTGTGTGTGTGTGTGCATAAATGTGCTGCTTTCGTGTAGATGAGATGTTGCAAGCGAAGGCAAGATCGCTTCTGTGCTCGACAGTCTGACATGCATGCTGGATCTCTTGCGCAGTGGCTGTAAGACTGTAAGATTTCCGTTCAGAATTTTCCAAGCACAATACAATCTCGATCTTGACACAGCTGTCCCCTAAGCCGGACAAGTCGTAGATTAGTTTTTTTTGGCAGCGCCTCATCTTTGTAAGCCTTTGTACGCCTTGTCTTTTGGCACTGATGTCCTCTGCGTCCCCCAACAACATGCAAGACTTGCAGCGACGCATCAGCAACCTGGCTAAAAGGTACAAAAGAGCAAGGGCTGCAGAAGAAGTGGCAGCTCAGCCACGCGAAGCGTTGCAGCTTCTACGACGATGTCGGCCAGACAGCCCGAGATGTCTTATGGTGTACTTCCTGGCGGGGCAATCTTGTGCTGCCGCAGTTGACTTTGTGGTAGGGCGCGGGTGGGAGCGTGCAAAACGCGGGCATCCTTCACCGGATCGAGATGAGGTGGCGAAGTTGACGGCTGATGTTGAGCAGGCTGTGGCCCGATCTCCTGCCTCGGCTTTCAGCGCTTTGCAGAGAAACCCACTCAGTGACTTCGAGCTGTGCGATTTGTTTTGCGCTCACAAGTATGTCATGGAACGCAGCTTGTACGGATGGATTGCAAGCCAGAACAACGACCAAGGAGTCGCACCGTCTCGAGAACAAGTCATGGCGCAGCTTCCTGAACACATCTCCCAACAGGCTCCGCTGCAGATCCGGACTCGGTTATGTAATCTTGCATGTGGCAGTCCACGCAAGCAACGCAAGTGGCTGGCCCGGTTTCGAAGACGTTGGGGTGCCAGACTTGGTGTTCTGCGTGTGCAAGAGTTCGTGCCCGTGGAGGAGAAGCCACGCAAGGCTGGCGGTCAAGGTTTTGTGGTCTTGAGCTCGGTAGCTCAGTGTTCCCTGTCCATTGTTGGAGGGTGAGTGCTGCGGGCCCGTTTTCGGGTCCGTTTCCCGGCCCCGTTTTCAGCTCCGCTAGCTTAAGTAGCTTATGAACCAAATGCCCTTAAGCGGACCTGGTTCTGGGTCCTGGAGTGCTTGCGCTTGGGCCAGGCAGCGGCTTACTTCCAGTGGCTGAACTTCGCCATCGATGCAGCTCCGGTGCACAGACCTCTGCTGATCCTGAACATGGACGAGACCGCAGTGGGCCGGCACCAGAGCGGCCTCCGTGGTACAGTTGCGACGTTGCCCAAAGCCACCTTGCCAGCGAGTGATCGTGCGTCCTTAGCGGATCGCCGAAGCTACGTCTCTTACTTGGCTTGTGTGACAGATGATGCAAGAGTCCAGCCCCGACTTCCACAGGTCCTCCTCGGCAACACTCACCTGTTCACCTTGGACTTACTTCGGTCCTGTTCTGGGAAGTTGCCGGACAATGTTGTTCTGTGGCGGCAAACGTCTTCATGGAACTCTCATGCAACTATGAGGAGGTGGCTAACGCTGCTCGCGAAAGCTTTGGGCCCTTTGGTGGAGGAAAGATATGTCGTGCTCTTGCTCGATGTTCATTCCTCACATATCCACCAATCTATTTTTCTTCACGCCCGACGCTGTGGTGTAAGATTGATATACATACCCGCCAAGATGACGCGGCTTCTACAACCTTGTGATACGCACGTCTTTTCCAAGTTCAAGTTGGCCTTGCGGATAGCGTGGCAAAATTGTAAGTCACGCAGCCCTGCTGCAAGTCCAACTGCCGTGTCTTGGGTTCACGTCGTCAGCCAAACAATCCAGGCAGTCATATCACGCGGGAGCTGGCAAAAGGCTTTCCTTGCTGATGGAGCTCTGCGTTTTCAGACGCAGCTCTCGACTAGATTGCGGGTTGAGTTAGACGTCGATGAAGCTGCCGTCTGGCTACACGTGGCTCCCACAACGGAAGAAGTCGCATGCGTTTTTCCTTCGCGGCTCAAGATTGATACACTTTCCTATGTGCTGTGGCAGCCACGCTCTCACCGTGTCCAGGGAGCAAGACCCTCGCAGCGTTCGACGGCAGCCAGATCATCTGAACCACCCCTTGTGCCGCAGTTTCACCGACGCGTCCTGCCGTCTACGTTCCTTACAGCCAGGATGGCTCCGATTGTTCGCCGGCTGGAGTGAGTGGAGCGCCAAGAAGAGTAACTGAGAAGGCCACGTTCATGAGGCAGGTCTTTTAGTAAGACTTTGCGGCCTCAGATTTGGGGTCGGGCTTCCAGTGGATTTTGCTGCGTTTTGCATGTGATTTGCTACAGTTTGCTTTTTTCCACGCAGAGTTGCATTGCTACTTTTTGCATGAACAGTTTTGTTAAAGACTCTTGAAGATGTTTGCTCCGATTTGCGCTTGAACTTTTGACTTTTGCGGATTTTTGCATGGAAAGCTTAGCTTAGCTTCGCACATGAACATCTGCGCAGTCTGGGTCCGAATCCAGCCCTTGTTGTTGCGCGCGCTCTCTGCAGCCGTGCTATGCCAGTGTCGGAAGCGCCAGAGCAGCGACAGAGCCGGCGCGCTGCTGTGCGCACCATCTGCAGATTGAGTACTGCTTTGGCCAGCCCAGAGAAGTTGGGCAAAGATGTCGGCGGGCAGTTGCTGGCAGAGCGCGTCGTACAACTTCGCCAGGCCACTTGGTCATGAGTGTTCTTGCTGTGTAGGAATGCGCTCGTGGTCTGCGGTGCTTGCGTATGATGTACTGCTAGAGAGTTGTGCTGCTCAGGTTTTAGAAGGCGAGGAGCTACAGCTCTTAGAGGACACTGTGCAGCAGTATGAAAGTGCGGTTGGGAGAGCTTTAAATTTCTCCGATGCGCCTGAACCAAGTGCTTCTGAACCGTCTGCTGCCGCCCTACCCGTGCGAGAAGGGCCAGAGGGTGCGAGCCCGGCTTTCCGCATCCATGGGGCAGACGT